TCGGTCGAGACCTTCGTCTGCCTTGTGATCGCCTGTTTGATCGCCATACGAATGCGCCTTCATCGCCTGATCCAAGATGTCAAGATGTCACATCCAAGATGTCAAGGCCCGTTTAAGTGATGCACCGTTCCGCACGAAAGCGAGCGAACTTGGCGACGGAGAAAGTGAAGTCCAGATACAACACGAGAGCTACTGGACATATATCCAACAACGGAGACAAGGTGTGGTTGCGGAACCCGATTCGACGAAAAGGAGTCAGGCCTAAATTACAGTCACCTTGGGATGGCCACCACACAGTCCTAAACAGGCTGAATGACGTCGTGGTTCAGATCCGTCGGAACTCTAAACCTAAAATCGTACATTGCGACAGGTTAGCTAATTACTATGGTCATAGTACGTAGTGTAAATAATTGTAAATGGTGTAAGACCATGGTCCTTTTTGTTTCTAAATGTGTATTTAGTATTTGATTCGTATTTTGTATTTGATTTGTATTTGATAGCATTTGATTTGTTTTATTTATTGCATTTATTGTTCATGTTATTTATTATTGTAATGTAATGCTTATTATTGCATTTATGCCACAGTTGTAAGTTTGGCTTCCTATCCAGGGATTGTACTGCCCGGGACGTGCAGTCCTTGGGAAGGGGGCAGTGTTACAGATTTGGTATTTAAATAGCTTATGTTAGTTGAATTGTAAATTAAAAGGTTTTATTTTCCTCTTAGTGCAGCGCGTGACGAATATTAAAGGAAAGCTAAGCCGGAAAATTGAAAATACAAGAGCGCGTGCATGTAACATTTAATAAATATCTCTTTTTGATTTCGAGAAAGTACTAGAAAATTCTCGCGCGCGATTTTAAAATCTTATAAAAGGAGGAAAACCTCTCAGTTCGTAGTAGTTACTTAGTTTGTTGTAAAACTGCTCTTGTTGACTACAGCGAATTCGCGAATTAGATTTCTCTAGCTGTTTTGAATTAAGTTCTTTTGAACGTTTGAGTAGTTAGAAGATAACTACTGTGAGATATTGTAAAACTGAAAGAATATCTGCGGGAATTTAAGCATTTTGTAATAGTAATAAATTTTTTTGTTCATTTTTCATCGGACTTGAGCATTCATTTCGTAACGAAACGGTACGCACGCAACAATGTGAAGTATTCTCGTTGCTGGTTTTTGCTGGTTGATATTTCCGAATTCTATTATATATAGATGTTAAATTTATTTATTAAATGTTAAATGCACCTGCTCTTCTATTTTTAATTTTTCCTGCTTAGCTTTCTCATAATATTCGTCACGTGCTGCACTGCACGGGGAATAAAACAATTTACAGTTACGCAAGCAACCAATAAACTATCGGCGACAAACACTTAAGCCGCATATATATATGATTTGTGAATGAAGGTATGTAAGCTTTTAAAAATAAAAAAGATCTAAATAAGATAGAAAAATGTTAATGTATTTTGTTATTTAAAAATACTATCAAATTTAGAAATACACTTTTTTATTAATTAAATAAATATTAACTGCTGAATAGATGTAATGTATAAGACAATTAAACTGTAAATTAATTGTATCTAAAGAAGCACGGTTCACGTTCCACTTGTTTTAGATTGTCTAATTCTTGTGAGTAAATTTGCTTTTGGCCATCCAAAGCTTCTTATTCATCAAATTTTTAACTAGCCGTAATACTTAATTTTTAATATCGCTCTCTTTTTATATTCAGACCTTCTTTTTAATTAATTTTAATATCTCTATGTTACTAAAACTTGCGTTTCAAAGAAACCCTTCAAAAACAATTTTTTTTAAAAAAACTGCACTCAGATAACAGACGTTTCAAATAATCCTACTGTATAAAATATAACTGAAACTGTATCCTTTAAAAAATACTGAATGCTTCTAGATTTTCTCTTTTTATTGTAAAATGGAATAATGTGTACTACAAACAATAAACTACTAAAATTACAGGGATCGTTAACGCATTAGCTGTTAAGGTTTCACTTACGCTCAAGGGGCTTTATTTCAAGCTGGGCGATGCGGCATGTTATGACTTTTCAAAATTAATCAGCCAGTGGCAGATCGGTAAAGTCGTTGAACCCTGGTAATTCGGTCCGAGGCTCGAATCCCGTCGAACGGCCTGACTGCATGGGCGTATCCGTGAATTTCCCATGTGTAACATCGATATGAGCCAGTTTGCCTTAAAATATCCTCCGTGAAGGCACTCTTTTCCTTAGGGGCAATTGTCCTCGAATGTTTTGACATAAATAAACCAAAATTTTAACTTTCGGTTTTTATTACACTTGGTGAGCAGTAAGAGCTCAGTTCCATAGTGGAAATCTTTATGTTAAATATACTTTGATTTAACTACATTTTTTTTAATTATTTCTTTATAGATTATTTTTCTTTTTTTCGCCATTGAGGAGATTGGTGTTCATAGGAAATATACTTATCAGCTAATTCTGCATTCGCTATAGATTCATAATTATTAATAATAATTGAAATGATTACAAACTGTCGATCGGCGTTCCATTTTAGCTGGCGCCCGCCTGCGGTGCAGGTCCGCTTCCGCCTTCCCTGCTCTGACATTTAGTTCAAATTCAAATATAAATTTGTACGGGAAGTTTTTTTCGAATTTTCAGAGGCATTAAAAATTTCTTCCTTGGGCAGAAGAATGCGAAAATCTTAACTCTTTTTTAAATTATGAAAATGTTATTGATTACGTTAAAAAGACCATGAATTGTATAATAATAATTTGCTGATGAACTAATGATGACATGTACAAGAATTAAGGCGGTCACAGTTCTCTTTGAATTTTTGAGAAATAATTATCGATCGCTTAACTATTATGCTCTTAAATATTATGCCTCAGAGTATGCAAATATTTATGGAAATATTTATAAACGTACATATGTATGGATGTCAATATATCTCCCATAACTGAAAACCGATTCATCATAAAACGTTGAAATTTTGCACATGGGACTGGTTTTTTTTATTGAAATCGGAAGTACCAAACATATACATATGTTAATATTATTATTAAAAAAGATTTTTTATATATCATCTCCAAGGAACATAAGTTTAATTAATGCGATAAATTATTGGAATAAATTTGAGTCCAGTCCATAATAACTCACTTTTATCACAATAATCGAGCAGTTTTATTATATATATATATTACAAAACTATTTTTTTTTAAATAAAATATAAACATGCCTAGTATTTTTGCGCATTAAGCTGCTACACCTATTCCTTTACCTAACTTAAAAGTCTTTACCCGCTTATCCGACATTATTTTCGAAATCGTTGGTCGTAGACATACGTTTCCAATTACAGAAGTGTATTAAATTATAAAAATATTCATATTTTGGCAATTTCAGATTTTAAAAAATTTAATTTTCGACAAATAGCGAAATCTAATTTTTAATGCAATCTCCCGGTTTCTATACTTATATTTGGGAAAGTTTTCTGCTCATTATAAAAAAATAAAATTATGAAAAGACTCACATAGAATACATTCGACTTACATAGAACAACAATTGGTCGAGATATTTAATTTCGGAATTTGCAACTTTTGATATTTTCAACTCGCCCTGAGAGATCGGGTAATTAATTTAGAATAATTCGAGGAAATCAGTTTAAATAAAGGACAGCAAATAGGCCATAGAAAAAGTTATGTCCACATCAGATTTTTTTTATTATTATTATTGAAAATTAACTTTAAAATCCTTATTTTAATTTGTATTTATAGCAATTAAGCTTTAGTTTTACAGAAAAAAAGTATAATAAATGTTTTATTTTAAATTATATTGATAGAATAAGTCAGTTCTATCATTTATTAAAACGGTAAACAACATCCCGGTCTCGCATACTTGTATTTAAGATAGGTTCAATATTTTCTAAGATTTTTAACCTTAAAAAAATTAAATCTATATCGTACAGCTCTTTAATTCTATCGTTTTCACAGGTGATCTTATAGAAGTGATAATCACTTATATACTATTAAGTAGGCAATATCCATCATTTCATAAAAATTTTAAGAAATTAATATATTAAAAGAAAAAAATTACACGCCATATAAACATAATATACAACTTTCATTTCACTGTTTCTCAGATTCCTAAAAGACGTTATAGTCTCTTTACGCTTATTACTATTCCTTATACCAATAATTGGCAAATATCTAATTTCTCGCAATAAAGAAAATAAGATACGAAACTAAAAACCAGGAATTTAGAATGATACGCATTATTTCAAGTAGAAAATATACTATCAGTTGCAATTACAATAGCAAACACTATGTATTAAAATAATAATGCAAAATTACTTATCGGGCCCAAGTTTGCGATTAACGCGACTTTTTATAGATCGTCGAACATAGTGATCAAAGAATTCTTTGATCCAAAATAATTCCTTTTTTCATTTTAAGTAGTTACGGTTATTAATTTTAAATCATTCATTTCAAATTTTCAATCGTTTGGTAAATCTTAAAAATGCATTTCTGAACGTTAACTTGCTATCATAAATGCTAATAATAGTACTCAAAAGAGTAGATTAAGAAAAAAAAAAAAAAGAAAGAAAGAAAGAAACTCACGCAGTAATACTGTAAACGTAACTGCTATAACTAACTTAATCTATGAGCCTTTTGTTTCTTTTTTTTTTATTTGTCCCACCTTTTTTAATCCGGCTTCCTTTAAAATGCGAGATCCTCTAAAAATATATGAAGCTTTCTCTTCTAAAATGCGAGGTAAAATGCTCAGGTGTCGACAGCCTACTTTGGCTGAATCAACCAAAATGCGTATATTAAGAAGACGCTTCAGGTCCGTAGTATTTTCATTTAGAACAGTCTTTTTTGATGAATGATAAGATAAATTTTATTGAAAGGATAATTAAAATGCACAATGACAGGGTAACACCGAGTTGTCATCACCGACTCACCGGTAATATGTTGCTGAGGCCTGTCCTTCACACCTAAGCTTGATCTTTTTTCGCCCTGCGCGCAGAAAGACGGTAAATGCAAAGCAAAGCAAGCAAATTTAATTATTTGACGGTCTAATCTAAATATTGTATTCGGATGATTTGAATTTACTTCAATTATTAGTGTGTCAATCGGAATTATTAGTGTGTGAGAATGCAGTCTGTTAAAAGAGGTGCCCTTTTGTTTGGAAGGGTAATAAGATCTGATCTCCCCCAGGCTGTGAGTGTACGAGTGGGCAAGTATGTTATGGATGAAAGACTAACTATGGTAAGATTATAAAATTTTGAGAAAATTAAATTGTGGGGTGAATGAATTCGAATTTCCACTGATTCTGTAAAATTTTGACCTCATAGTGAATGTCATTTGTTATTAGTCATTTGTATACATTTGATATATTTTCAGAAATTATTAATAAAATAAGAACGCACTTACTGGAAAACTAACACGTGTTTCTTTTTTACCCTGGCCCCTCTAGTGTAAAATAGGGTGCCCCTTCGATTTAGCAACAATTTTTTTTTTTTTTTTTTTTTTTTTTTTTTTAATTTTGGCGATGAAACCTCACTTCTGGTTACCATGGGAGTTTTAACTTTGTTTTAGCTTCTTGATTTTATTTAAATGAAAATAGATTGATGTGTACATGGACAAATTTATGGCAGTGCGCAATGCCTAGTTTGTGTAATTCTAGGATGTTCTTTTTTAAGTGAAAACAGATCCATATGTACATGGACATAGAGATTGTGGAATTCTTTGACTTCTTATTTTGGTTTTGTGTAGTGGCCATCTTGAAATTGTGCCTTCCTGGCACCAATCTTAGCATTAAAAAACAAGGGGCACCCAATTGTAAACTTTTACCCTCCTGGCTTTTAATTTTAAAACCGTATTTGGGAAAGGGTTTCCGAGCATTAAATGAAACTTATTGACTTGAAGGAAATTAAAATGTGCAAATCATTTTTCCACCTCTAATGCATAATTTTTTATACTAAATTTTAGGTAAAAGTGTATTTTAGGGTACCCCTTGGCAAAACTTGGTGATTTTTGGCGGTACATGGATACCGAATTTGTGCAAGTCTTTGACTTGTTATTTTGGCTTGTGTAGCGGCTATTTTTTCACCAAAAATCGAAATTCTATTTTTGGTGAAAAATCGTTGTTGGCGATTTTTTTCACCAAAAATCGCCTCAACACAAAGCCAAAATAACAACACAAAGAATTGCACAAATTCAGCATCCATGTACACATCGACCTATTTTCACTTTTAAAGCAATCCCAAAATTGCACAAAAATGGCATTGTGCACTCCCTTGACTTTATCCATGTACACATTGACCTATTTTCACTTAACTCTTTGCGGCTCAGCGTTCCACTACATGGAACACCCAAATTGAATCGCTTCTGAAACCTTTAAATTCAACCATAAATAGATAAAAATGCCTTTATAATATACTTTGAATTTTTCTTTTTAAACAGTAGATAGCAGCATATCGCAAGGAGACGCAGAATTTTCATTTAATTTGTGTTATTAAAACCCACTTTTTTCAAGTAATTTTCTCTATTTTTTTAATGATATAAAAATTTTTATTTGGAAAAAAAAATTAGGCACGATTTTGCTGGCTGTACTCCAAATTATTTGTTCTATATTTTTTTAATCTTTCATACAAAAACCATATGCAGAATCATTGACTAAAACCGGGTGTTCCATTAGCGGGAACACTGCGCCTTTAGCGATCTCATGCTGTTACGAATCAGAATATCCGTGCTTAGGAGAGAACATCCGTTGTTTACGTTTTCGGTTTCCATTGTTTGGGGGGGGTGAATTCAAACAAAGCAATATTGAGGGGTGGGTGAGGTGTGTTTTGCATTATGAAAGCCTTAATATTGGCATATCGAATTTTTTGGGAGTAGTTTTTAGGTGGGAATTTTATTAGTAGGACTCATCTTTGCTTGACCGCGCAATTTTTTGCTGTCCGATTTAGTCCCTTCCATATTTTTAATAATTGTTAAATTTTTTGAACTACTCTGATATACCCTCAAGGTGCAAATTTCTCCCAATATTTTGGCGAGAAACTCCACGCTGCCATATTGCTATCTAAATTTTTGTCTACATTTCGAACTTTAAGCCTAAAATGTCTCCAAAAACACGTTTTCGCGAATGCAAAAACCACGTTTTGAACACACAATTTAAGCTAAAAATCCAAAAACAAAAACAAAAAATTTAGATAGCAAAACCGTGAAGTTTCTAACCAAAATTATTTGACAAGAGTCCATGTACACAGCGATATGTTTTAACTTAAAAAAAAACATCTACGAATGGCACAATCTAGGCAACGAACGAATTTACGAACTATGCACACCTCGCTTTAATAAATTAACATAACAATAAATTTCAAAGAATACCATGTACACAGCATCCTGTTTCAACTTAAAAAAACATCTACGAATTGCACAATTTAGGCAACAAACGAATTTACGAACTACGCACACCTCACTTTAATAAATTAACATAACAACAATAAATTTCAAAGAATACCATGTACACAGCATCCTGTTTCAACTTAAAAAAACATCTACGAATTGCACAATTTAGGCAACAAACGAATTTACGAACTACGCACACCTCACTTTAATAAATTAACATAACAACAATAAATTTCAAAGAATACCATGTACACAGCGTTCTGTTTCAACTTTAAAAAACATCTACGAATTGCACAATTTAGACGGTACGCACTAATCAACAAAATAACTAAAATAAATTTCAAACAATTCAAAAAAAACAACAATAACGACAGAAATTCATACTAAAAAAACAATGAACATAACATTCTACAAAATAAGAACAAGAATAAAATAAAATGCACTTACCATTAATGCTTTTTCGAACAGCAGAAATACCAATTTCATACCGCCTTTAACATGCCGCCACGTAATCACTATCGTATTTATATGACAGCCAGACACACTATCCAGAAAATTCATACTATGGTTCACAAATAAATAAAATAACAAATAATCACAAATCCCTACTTCTATCACGCACAGCCACTAAAAATAATCTCCCATACCTTCTTTCCACACCTCCAAATACCCATTGCCCTCAACAGGATGGCCACGACGATATTTCCTTATGCCGAACTTCAATTCAACAACTTTCACCATTAAATCTTTTCCCCCCCCCCCAGCTTCTCAGACACAAAGCATGATGGGAACCAACGAACTCCAGCGAAAGATTTTTCAACGTCAACAGGGTTGCCATACAACACACGCAATCGCGCCAAAAACCAGCGCAGAACACATATCGCCACATTTGGTGAAATTAGGGCGTAATCAGAGTTGAACCATATTTTCGTGTATGTGAATTAAGGCTTATTTTCTTATGTTATATTAATCGTAGTTAATTTTTATTAATTTCCAAAATGTGGGAGGGTCTAACTCTTAAATTTAAATATTTTTGTATATGACTTGTGTTACATATTTATCTCATTTATCCGTATATATTCAAGAATATTGTATATATCTAGGAAACCATGTATACAGCCATAATACAGATTTTTTTCATTCTTATACAAACGCTTCTACTCATTTTCATGCTTCACTGCAATGCTCGCTTAGCACGCACTTTTAAAAGCTCTGGCGGCGCAGTGTTCCACCTCATGGAACACCCACAGAATTAAAACGGTAAGTGCAATTTTTACAAAATTTTACCTATATACTCCTTTAGGACTAAATAGACTGCATACAACTTTTTTTGTTGAAATTCCGACGTTAACGTATAGTGCACCGCAAAGGGTTAAAAAAAAAATCACAGAATTGCACAAACTAGGCTTTGGGCACTCCCTTGAGTTTGTCCATGTACACATCGATAGGCTAAAGTGCAGAATTGCCCACTTATTTGTTTGATGCTTTTTACAGAGTAAGAAGAATTGGATTTTTGTCAATTTTCTTTGACTTTCTAAGTGAAAATGGGTCAATGTGTACATGGATAAAGAGTGTGCAAGCCATTTTTGTGCAATTCTGAGGTGTTTTTTTTTAAGTGAAAATAGGTCGACATGTACATGGATACTGAGTATGTGCAATTCTTAAAAATGCGCCAAGCAGTGGGCGATTCTGCACTTTCTCCCGCGATATATTTTCTCTTAAAAATTCGAAGGAGCACCCAATTCTGCAGTAGAGGCAAACAAAAAATACATAATCTCAATAAACTGCATTTTAAACCAAAAAATAAAATAACATAAAAAAGGAAAAATCTGTTATGCATTTAAACATTACACAAAACAAATATCCACTTACCTCTTTGGCACACAAAATTCCTTAACAGCATCCAAAAACTTCCGAAAATTATATGAATTTGAATCCGTATATCGGCGTCGCCACGTAAATTCACAAAAATAAGAGTCGAAAATATCCTCCGTAGTTCCGGACTGTCCGGAAAATGGCTACTAATTAATCCTTCATTTACACGCTAGTCAATTAATGCAATTTTCCCCATTCGTTCCAAATCGTACAGAAACATCAAATTAATCTTACTACATTCAGCCATTCTACTGTCTAAACAATGAAACAAGCGATGCACTTCCTAACCTTACACACCACAAAAGCCCTTACAAACATCCCACGGAACTACTCTGATATGCGCCCTCAAGTCGCCAAATTTTGCGCCAAATATTTTTGGCGAGAAACTTCACGCTGCCATATTACTATCTAAATTTTTTGTCTACATTTCGAACTTTTAGCCTAAAATGTCTCCAAAAACGTGGTTTTCGCACATGCAAAAACTACGTTTTCAACATACAATTTAGCTAAAAACCCGAAACAAAAACAAAAAATTTAGATAGCAGAAACATAAAGTTTCTAACCAAAAATATTTGACAAGAATCAATGTACACAGCGACATGTTTTAACTTAAAAGAACATCTACGAAAGGCACAATGTAGGCAACGAACGAATCTAGAAACTACGCACACCTCGCTTTAATAAATTAACATAACAACAATAATTTCAAAGAATACCATGTACACAGCATCCTGTTTAAACTTTAAAAAAATTCTACGAATTGCACAATTTAGGCAAGGAAGGAATCTACGATCTACGCACACACCTCGCTTTAATAAAAACATAACAACAATAAATTTCAAATAATACACAGCGTTCTGTTTCAACTTTAAAAAACATCTACGAATTGCACAGTCTAGACACTAAACAAAAATAAAACTAAAATAAATTTCAAACAATTTAAAAAACAACAATAACGACAGAAATTCATACTAAAGAAC